ATACCTATCTACAACTCATAATAGGTATACCTATCTACAACTCATAATAGGTATACCTATCTACAACTCATAATAGGTATACCTATCTACAACTCATAGGTATATCTATCTACAACTCATAATAGGTATACCTATCTACAACTCATAATAGGTATACAATTTAAATATTTACTTATGCAGTTATGCCACTTGATCATATTTTTTGAGTTTACACATCTACGTGTAAATGTATAAACACAATATAAAATATTGTATAGGTAGTTATATTTTTGTGCGCATTGCAATAATATATGCCACGTCGTTAAAATAACCGTTTAATTCACATTTTGTACAATGTCTATAACTACATTGTCATATCTACAACTCATAATATGAATTAAATTATTTAAAATCTTTAAAAATCATTTTTTCTATTGTAAGGAAATGCCCAATATCACCTGGATCGATTGAAATTAAGTGGATATTACAATATTACTATACCTATTTAAAGGAATCAAGGATCTAGACTATGTATTTCTTCAAAAGAAAGTGTTAAGACGGATTTAAATGGGCAACGTATTGACGAATACATACAGGGATAGATGGAATATGGGATGAAAGGAGCTGTTTAAATACGCCACGCATGGAGGAAACAAAACTAAATGGCAAAAAATCCATAGGTAGTAGAAAACCCAAGAGGAAAAAATAATCAATTGTAAGACCACGATTGTGTTAAAAGGATTAGCAAACTTCTCAGAATTGGAACTTAGGAATTGAGGCTGACGGAAGGTTGAAAAAGACAAAGAAAGATAAAGGAGGATATTTTGATAGGATAATCTCCATGGCCTTAGAAAAAAAATATTACCAACCTGAAAAAATGTTTATTTTATTTTTTTGTACTATATTGAATAATTTTTAATTATTATTATAAAACAGATACTTGTGATGACTTACCTTAGTATAATGTTTTGTTTTAATTTTATACTGTAATTGCAAACAATGACACTATAACAACTAATTATGTAATAATTTAAAACTTTAAAAAATATAATATAAAGTACCTAGGTATACACACATAAACTTTATCGAATTGTTTTAATAAATTATCGAATAGATACACTAAAAAAATATTAATTTATACTATCCACAGTGCATTTAACACGAGCGCATGTGTACAACTAATCTACGTATGACATCAAACGATCGAAACATATTATTTTGATCGTACATACAGGTGTGGGAATATTATGATTTATAACATAAGGTATAAATTATAAACAAAACAGATAGTGCAGCGAAATGTATTATTACAATGATTATACTCGTAATCGTATTACGAGTATTAATATTTGAGTAATAATATAAAAATCAAAGATTAAATTGTGAACATTGATCGTACAAAGGTCATTTTCGTCATATAGTAATCTGGGATTGAGGAGTAAAGCTGATTATTTAAAAATGATTATAATTTACATTCATTGTATATTTTATTTTAATAATATGAGTAATTTATTATTTTCATCAAATGATTAATATTTTTAAGTAGTTTTCTTTGTTATTTTATGAAATCGATAAGAACCTAAAATATTTCTACCTTATATAAAAGGTACCGATTTATCGAATTGAGAAATATGGGTTCCATTAAATGTTCCAGTTTTCAAATTTTCTTCAAGACCAGTTCTAAATCAATTTTTTCGATTCCGATTCCAGTCCCTAAGTCACGCAGTGGTCAATTTTTGAAAAACCTCATCAGTCGTCATTAACATATCTATTTTGTATTTTCTGTCCGTTTCGTGTGTGTTTAATATAAACAAAGATATAGGGTAATACATACACAAGTATTCCGTACTTCCTCTTGTTAGGTATTAGGCAAAGGACCTAATAAATTATATATTTTATAAAAAATATAATTTTTACTATAGCTTCTACAATTCTACAAATAATTTTAAATGTAAATATATTAATTTAATGGTTATTCATGGTTAATATTAAATCACGCACATCCACAGATAAATATTAACATACATAATATGAACCTATGTATATAAATCTGTGTGTCATACCATTTAGATTTATAGGCCATAGATAAGTTGTACTTGGATGAATCACATAATTTATAATATTGTTCGTTGTTCATATTACTATGTCAATAGACCAGTGGTTCTCGATCTTTTTAGGACCGCGACCCAAATTTTCTCCCGAAAATCTACCGCGACTTGCATGGTTTCACTTTTCAAAAAGTTGTTTATGAAATAATTTTCGCGATCCATCAAAAATTGACTCGGAACTCACCAGTCTGAGAAACAGTGCTGTAGACAAATGTAATAAATTTATCTTTCCCTACTCCTCCAATCTAAACTTTAAACTGTTATAATTCATAAACGGTAAATCTGATATTAGTGTTATGCATATCAAAATGTCTAGAAAAATATAAAAATATTCCCTATTCAAATTTGTGTTCAAAAGGGGGGGGGAGTGTTCCTATTCGAAAATTAAAAGTATGAACTTATTTAAGGTACATGGAATAGGTAAGAACTACCTATATAGATAATAAATATCTATGCATTTCCATGACTGAGATACAACGTTATCACGATGCCGCCGCAAAATGTAAACAAAATACAAACCTCAAACAATATTATAACAATTTAGTAAAGGATAAATTAATGACATTCGCCTTCTGGAACCACAGAAATATTATGATAAAAAAAAAAAAAAAAATAGTAAACTGTTAATTTTATTTATTTTTATTATTACTAATGTGTTTATGTCTAGATCGCGCCGCCCGGAATTATGGCCTATCCATTCTTTATTATCTATATATGAACCTTAGTGATCAGAAATTATCAACGGTAACGACTGGTAACAACAAAATAATCCAATTTTTTTGTTTATAATGATAATAACGATTTAAAATATGTAATTCAATTTTAATAAACTATTGATTTATTTGTATATGCGTTCAACTAACAAATTACAGTTTTTAACTACTTATAAATTTGTACAGTGAATTGGGTCGAATTTAATATTATAAAGGATGTTAATTGTTAAGGTTTATATCTCGATCACAGTGTTTATGGTGTGTATTTTAATTGTTGACAATAATATAATCATATAGTCATAATATTACTCTATGAATATACCTTATACAATCTGCAACATAAGTAATAAATAATAAATGTTCAATACATTCAGGTTTTTAGCGAAATTTATTAAAGTCATCTACGAATACATATTAACATAAATCATGGACACAGAACCATTGGAATACCAATTCAAACCATTTGTGTTCACATTGAAAGACAAGACCCAACCGCCTGTAGATCGTCCACTTCCCAAAGTAGACCATAATATTGCATGCAATAATGACTTTATATTTTCATACGCATGTGGTCATTCTCTCCAACCATTGGTAAATGTCGGTGTCACTCTAGGGACGGTGAGTTTGACTGTTGACTATTGCTTAGAACAGTATTAAATTGTAAACAAATTTTTAATTTTAGGAGCATGTGGAAGGATCTTTGTGGAAGTACAACTTTATTGCTGGTCTTTGGGAAAATATTACTTGTAGGAATTTCCCAGGAAGTTTAAAATTCAATTCTGTCTTACTTTCAGGAAGTATTATATTCATTCACGGTGGAAAAGGCATTCGTTATCATAATCAATCAAAGTATCAAACATTTATTGGTATATAATAATTCATATTTATTGTCGCTAGATTTATTTCTTTTTTCATTTCTGTATGTAGGAGATTTATCAAATGAACACAATGAAAATGGTGTAGAATTTGAAGAAATTCATTGTACAGATGGAATACCTAAAAATGGATATGGCCAACCGATAATTATTGATGGTCAATATTTATACTCTGTAAATGGAGTTGCTGAACATGAACATGAAATGGATGTATATAGGCTGGATCTGAGCACTAAAAAATGGAAGTTATTATATGAGGCACGGGGCTGGCATGCAGATACTACATATAAATTCAAACATGAAGTGGCATATTATAACAAGAAAATATACATGTTTGGAGGTGTTCATTTTCCATCTACAAATACTAATGCAATTACAGGGTATATGAATATGTTTCAAGTGAGCTATATATTATATGATGTGTTTTTGTTAATTATTTTATATTTATTTCATTATATTCTAGAAAATACACATTTTTGATTTATCATCTAACACATGGCAGTATTCTCAAACGGTGCCCGACTGTCAAAATTCATTTTGTTATCCTGTAAATCGGATTCATCATGCATGGGTGCAATGTGTAGTTCAAAAAGAGTTTGTATACATGAGTGGTGGTTATAATGGGGTAAAATCATTTAATGACATATGGCGTTTTAATCTAGCTACTTTAGAATGGTGTCTTCTTAAGTCATTTTTTTTACGTGAACCCACTTATTTTCATTCTATGACAATTACTCCAGCAGGTCAATTGTACTACTATGATGGTGTGGTTTGTAAAACTCATTTATATTCATACTCTATAAGCCCTAATGATAACATACAGTGTGCATGGATTTCAGTGCCCAAATTACATGCTATTTGTTGGGATGCCATGTTATACTATTTTAAAAATCAAATGTTAAAGTCTTCTTTTGAAGACTTAAAGAGTTTAGGAATACCATCAGAATATTGTAGAAGTATAACTAAAGCCAAATCATTATTATAATTAAATTTACATTTGTTTGTGAATACCATTGGTATAAGACTTAAATATCTAATATTATATAAAACAACTTTATTTTATTTAGTAAAATAACTTTCTCAGCGACTAGGGTCATTGACTATAAAAAAACCAACTTTTTATTAGTGCATTTTATTATATGAATATTAATGAAGTATCATTTATATGATTATTATATTAATCATAATACTTTTGCAACAAACCTATTATGGTAATTACCAATACTGCATAAATGTCAGCTTTAGTCAAATAATATATTAATTATGATTTTTGAGTAAAGTAAAAATTTTATATGATAATCTTTTTTCTTCCTCATGATCTTTATGGCTTTATCACATGCAAGTGTGGTCACTGGTCAGCTATTCTTACTTTTGCTTTCCACATCACTATCCATAATCATATCCACATTTCAATCCTTATTATTTGTTCTATAACCCAACACGTCCTGGTTTCTCCATTTATACTCGCCTCATTTATCTTTTGATTATTGCACATATATCTTTCTCAACATACTCATACCATCTAAATATCTTTTCTTTTTACACCAGAATAGGTTTTTAAATTTTATATTACTATTATTAAATAGCCCTAAGCAAATAAAGTCCTATTAGGGATACATTTATTCTAAGTGATTCTGATTAAATAAGTATATCAAATGTGACTTCTCTAGAAATAATTATTAAACACATAATTGTAAATATTATTTTAATTTAAGCCATATTAATTGTAGTTTAAGGTAATTACTTCATTTTTATAAAATTTGATTAATGACTGAAATCTGTTTCACATTATACTATGTATATTGTATACATTGCAAAAACGCATAAAACAAAACTTCATGGTTTATGAAATATGTATTATTGTTATTATTAGTACAGTAGCTATGAATATGGTGCCAATCAATAGTCAAAAAAATATCCTATAGTCCTCTAGGTTTTTGTTAAATAATTTGATTAAAATTTAACCTAGTCATCTTTATTTAATTATTTATTTATATAATTTGTACATAAATAAATACTCATTTTTTAAAGAAAATTATCGGGACATGCTAAGCATGTGAATATAAACATAAATAATAAATGCAAAAATCGTTCCTATCATCAAAACTATACATATAATGTATTTTAAAACAATAATAATGTATGATAAAAATTTTGTCTATTTCAATTATTTTTAACTGTATTTATTGAGATTATATCATTACTTTTTCTGGTAGAGCATCCACTAGAAACTACGGTCCTAACTATCTGGGGAAAGCTCTGTCAGTTGCTCTTTGTGAATGAATGGTATTATTCGTATTCAACTATTTTACGTGATAGTGTGAATGTATATTATTTGTAAAATTATTATTACTATTATTATTTAAATATAAATTTTTAAGTAAAATATTTATAAAATAATTGCCATTTTTTCCATTTATTAAGTAAATTAAGAAAAAGTCAAAAAATTAACCTTATAAATGCACAAACTAGATCAAAAATGCTATAAGAAAGTTTTTGATTAGAATATTTCTAGTAAAAAAGTTGTTTAAACATATAAAAAAAAACATAATGAAATATTCCTTGCTTTGTTCAGTCTAAAGGGTAAACATAATGAAAGTACTTTAAAAGTTTAAAAAATTATCAATTAAACCATTACAAGTAGTTTTAAAATGTCAAGTGAACTATTTACAAATTAAGATATTAAATTTATTTAGATTTTAATACATTATTGCTATTTTATAACTTTTAATATTGTAAATAGATTTATTTTATTAATTTATATGGGCTAGGTCCTTTGGACAAAATACAGGAACATATATTAATTATAGTTTTTTTATACCAAATAAGTTTAGAAATCAGACATTTTACATGCTCGTAGTCTGCTTTCCTAACTTGTTAATTTATTGACTTCATTTCCAATTGGTTTTTTTAGGAAAAATTTTTCTAAAAAGAAACTGTAATATCATAATAGTTATATTAGAAAATATAAACACTCATTTGACATGTAAATTATGATATTGTAAATAGTACTTTGTACTACTACCTACCTATGTTATTTTTTATTATATTTAATGTTATTATTTTTTTTACTAAGTACCTTTAGCTTTTATTTTAAATATGTTGTATTATGTAAGTATTTAAATAAAATTACTTGTGTATTTAAGCTAATTTTTTTTCATGATTCTAAGTGGTGTGTAATGTTTACAATGATTTCCTGTTGTTTAAAATTATTTAGTTGTCTTAAAAATAAATATATGAACATTATGAATTGATTTTTATTGAACCATAGTTCAGTCATATAAGCAAACTCATCTAATTTACTATTTGAAAATTGCATTGTGATTCCAAAGTTTGATATATAATTTGTAATAATATATTGAAATCAATAGAGATATTTCACCTAAGCCATTAATGCATTTTTGTCTAAAAATATTTAAATATTAACAAATTATTATTATTACTACATTTCCCTGACTTTCCTATAGCTATAATCTAGCCTAGCTGATTTTATTTTTGACTTAAATTTACTTTAATAACTTAACACCTGGAAGAGGTTAAGATACAATATATGTTGTACATATTTACATATTAACAAGCCTTAAAATTCAATTTTAATGTTTTAATGAAGATACCTAAAATAAATTCACCCGACCATTGAGTAACCAATAAACTTAATAAAACTTATGAAAATAACACTTGACACAATAGCTATCCACATTTTTTAAATGTAATATTTGTCATTGAATAAAACTTTTAATAAAATATGTGTACAATTACTTTTAGGACAAATGTTATAATTCTGAATCTTGTTTAACACATTGACAGACATTTATGTTAGCAGTAATATGAACAATTTCATATTACATCAATAGGTACAGTTCTAGCAGTAATTTGTCAGTGGTATCAAATGATAGAAAACATTAGAGTGCCACATTGCAGTAGTTAACTGTCAATTTGCATAGATTTTTAGATGTATGTATACCACTACTGTTATTATATGAAACATTTCATTCCAAGTGTTGGTCAGTTTATTAATAAAATAAAATTCAATATTCATTACCTTGGCTGAGATTATGTAGCAGTTAAAATAAATTTTTTAAAACAATTAAAAATAAAAATTATAGGGACTATAAAATTACTACCTTTAACGCCTCAATTAATAAAATAATATTTCCTAATAGTACGAATATGATTAAAACAAAATCATAAGTAGGTAATATTTTTTATAATATGCAAACAAATTATTTTTAAATTTTTAAAGATTAAATATATGTTTGTAGTATTAGAAAATTGTATACTACGAGTTAGAAGATTTTTTCTTCAACCTTTTTAAAAAATATTTTAAAATATTTTTTTGTGGGTTTTAGGTGCTATTAGTTCGGAGCTCTATCAATAGTTGTTACCTACATATTAATAGGTAATTATAGTTATAGTTATAACATGAATTAATAACAACACATAAGTATGTGTGCTGATTACAAAATTATTTATGTCAAATGAAACTAGTGAGGAAGTAATTTGTGGATTGGTAGTTTAATCATTTAACATACTTGTATTATTATTATTTTATGATAATAAATGTCAATGTTTATATGTGTGATCCATAGCTGAATTTAACCAAAAATCTAAAATTATTAATATAGAAGCTGCTATTGAAAGGGTCTGCATACATCTCTAAGATGGATGTTTAAATTTCAACCCCTAAACGGTGGCTCAAACATAATTGTTGATGGGTATTAAAATAAAAAAATTTAATTTCTTGTTGTTGACTTCTGGTTTAGTTTGGTGATATAGATGAAACAACAGTTCTATAATAGGAGCAAAAGTGGAAACGGAGAGACAAATTAAATTATTTTTTAATTTTGCTTTAAAATGGTAGAACAAAAAATTGGTATGAGTAACTCATTATTTGTTAATAAACATAGTATACTAACCAATATTAAAAAATAACATAATTATAATTTATAGAATTATTATTAAATTAAATATAAGTACAAAAATAACAATAACATTAAAATAACCATGTATATTTATTTTTTGAAATAACCAAAATATATTAGGTAAATATTAAATTAAACCAAAAGTACAGCATTAATACAGCCATCATTTTCTGGATTGTTAGTAACTTGTGCATATTTTCCCCATACTACTTTACCAGTTTGTGTGACTAGACCCAATTCACTGATGTTCACTTCTATTACAGTACCTTTAGTTATGACACCCAAATTTGTATACATAGGAGAATTAGGATTCTTTTTTACACCAATAATTGGTAGATAAAAAGTAGCCTTAAGTTCTGGATGAGTTACATGTGCCTTATTAAAACGTAAAGCCATTGGTCTAATAAACCTTTCAAATTTTGGTGGTTTACGTGTAAAGCCTTCTCCAACATAACAAACTTTGGTCACCATTCTCTTCCACGCCTTTCTTCTAGATTTGCCTGTCCTCATCACCTTAAATACTTCAGCATCAGCTTGTGCACGCACTTTGGGTATAGGTACATCCCATTTGCCAGCCTTTTCCTTACGTTTTTGTTTAATCATGTTGGATAGTACTTTGGCATTTGATTGGATATCTCTGTCAAGTAAATAAACTGGTAATGCTCCTTCCTTAGGTTTCTCTTCTTTTTTTTTTTGTAATTTTTCTTCATGCTCTTTGATCTTCTTTTTCATTTGAATCTTTTCATTACGGCGTTCCTTATTATAGAGTTTAGCTTTTAGACCACGAAGACGTTTCGCCTTATCAGAACGTAAATGAGGTTCACGGGCTTCCTTCTTACGCATACGTTGTTCATAATCTAATCGGCGACCGTATAATTTACGGTGCCTTTCCATGTACTCGTTCTGTGGCATGATTCGTTTTCCTGTAAATAAAATTCTATAAAAATAAAAATAAACAAATCTAATTTGGAATTGAATGTTTATCAACTACAAATATAAATTTGTATAATATGTAGATTGACTTATGCAAAAACCAACATCAACTAAACATTTCATGGAATCTAAAATTATTCAATGTTTTTACAATTGAACATCCGACATTATAATTCATAATCAAATAAATGCATTGAGCATTTACAGTGTTCATTTTGTTTTGAAATTTACTGCAATTGGTGACTTTTATTACAATGAATAATGTTGATTTGTTATCAATAAACACAAAATTATAGAGTAGACACGTCTAGAAAGGTAGACATAAAGCAAATAATAAGCTCAAAAAAAAATTCAGTAGACTTACTTTATAGTTGCAACTTAGAATGGAAAACAAAGACTTATAATTATTTCACTGTACAAATAGTTGAAAATAATATATACAAAAATATAAATATTAAATGATTTTAAATTTTTCACATTTGATTGTAAATACAAGTTTTGAAATAAAGTAACCTCAAATAAATATTACAAGAATTTGTGCTATTTAGTTGATATTTTACAACCTCCGTGAATACAAGAAAATGATAAAATTTATTGAAACATTGATAAAGACAATTTCTGATTTCGTGATTTGTGTCTATTTCTTTTATCTATGCTGGGATTAATATATTTTTACGAGTTCGTCATTTGTAAATCTTATCGAAACAGTCATTCTTAAATTCTTGACTTATTTCAAATCTGTAATATTTGATTACTTCCACATTGTATTAATTAGTGAGTGTAATTTTTATTATTAGCTGTTAATATTGATTGACATACTGAGGCAATTGTTCTTAATAGAAATATTAATGTTCAATATGTAAATAATTCAACACCGTGACGAACATATTGAATTCGAGTGTTAATTTACTCTATTTAATTTTAACTTTTTTGGATTAATTGTTTTTAATAAATTACTAATGTATCATTATTGCTATTCATCTGCGTTAATAATTATCTTCATTACAAATAGTATGGTTTTATTATTTTTGCAGTACTGGTGATGATTTTGACACGAAATTATGGAAGAACCTTATGAAAAAGAATTGTATAATATATTCAAAAGTTTTGAAAGTGATGAAAACGATGAATTGGATCATAAGGAAGTGAATGCTCTTTGTGAAACATTGCAATTGGATTTTAGTCAACGTAAACAAATATGGTCATACTTAGATCAAAACTCAAACGTTTCATTTGAACAATTTCGAGATGCTCTTGTTTATCTGGCTAATAACGGTTTAAAGGAAGAGACTAGGGACATTTCTCCTGGTAAGAATAGAACTATATTTATTCTTTTCTATCTTGTTTAAAAAATTGTTTAGGTATCAATAAGTATATTCATTAAAATAAAAAGACTTCAATAAATATAAACAGGTACCACTATAGTATAGAAATTATCAAATATTTTTATACCTTGACCTTGTTTTCTACATTCCTTTCACTTCACCATATTATTGTTCACAGATAGATAAGCCTATTATTTTATTATCATATATTTTTGTTGACATGCGTCTATTTTGTATTAACTAAACAAAATCTATACATTTTTCCAAACCTTATAAAGGAATATATTAAATTAGAAGGTGCCCGTTGAAAGGATTTTGTCAATGTCAATTAAAATTGACATAATAATTTTAACGAAAAATTGAACTAAAAACTTATTTTTTTCTAGAGCCCTAAGTTCTTAATTTTAATATTATTTATTTTACAATTATTGAAATATTTTCATAAATTATAATCCATTTCCAGCCAAATGTTTGCACAAGGGGGGGTTTGTTTATACTAATAATTATATTGTATGAGGTACCTATAAGTTTTTTTTTAGATTCTGAATAGAGATAAGATGCTTACAGTTTTAAAAAGATGTATATTACCATTTTTTTTCCTTGCATAACTTTTCTACTAGAAATTTTACTCCAACTTTTATTGATAGCAATGTTTCTTAAAATAAATTTCACTAGGAAGGCCCTTTAGAGAGGTCATTTTTTGATTTTCTCAGGAGTTTTCCCAGTAAATGTAAAAAACATGGAAAAACAGAAAAATTGGGAAAATTGGTACAACATTAACCAAATAATATTAAAGAAAATTTATAAAGCCTATTTAATTATTTTACTATAAAATGACTTATATATATATATTGTTGACAAAGTATCACTATCAACTGAACTCCGCTCAGATTCGTTTTTTTATAAGCAATAGTTTATCTTTACTTACAGGTATACATTAAATTATCTATAACAATGGTTGCACCTATCCCCATTGTCCTAGGAAGTCTTTTTTTGTTATTATTAATAAAGTTTTCCTGACATATCTATGTCAACTAAACTTAATAGTCTAGGTATTCTAATTTGTTTTTAACTTTCTGTACAAAAGAATGGTTATTTGCAATTTAATAATATTGAGGAATGTATATAAAAATATTAAATTAAAATTTTTACAATGAATACACGAATGGTAAATGTATAATATACATAATAACTATGGTATAATAAATTATATATTTATTTTAATAGACATACCTAGTTAATTTTTAATTAATTCAAAATATAAAGTACATAATAAAACTTTACATATAATATATATTATAATTTTAAAAACTTTTTATATAGTGAACAGAAATAAATGAAATTATGAAATTAAATAAGGTATTATTTAAATTATTACAACATTCTCATTAAAAGTTGAGGATTAGTACAAAATATATTTTTTAAGTAATAAAATTTACTATTGTTATTAACTTATTGTAAGAATTATTAAATAACAACTAAGTTTACTATTTTTATAAAATTGGCATATTAATACTGCGTAATTTAGTGTTTCTTTACATGAGATTGTTAATTCGACACACATTCAGTAGATTAATACTAATAACTAATGAGTGTCATTATTTATACCTGTAATTTATTAATTAACTGATTAGCATTGTTATTTTATCTTTATGGGAAATACTCGGTTGTTAAATGTTATCAAACAGATTATGATTATCATAAATACCAATTACAAATAATTGGAACAGGTAAATTTCATGTTATACAGGTACTAATATTAATGTTATTTTTTTAAATTTTTAATCTTCAAAATGATTAATAGCTAAATTACTTCTTCGTGTTTTTTTAGTTTGCTCTTTGTTTTAGTTTTTTTTATGTGTTAGCTCTCTCATCTTATTTTTTTTTCTTGGTTTATTCAAGACCATTTAGACCCATCACTGTTCCCACTATGTTTTGCCAATCATTTATATTCAACACTGAGCTTTCTCCATCCCTGATTCCTAGGAGCTTACAGTTTTCACTGATTTGATCTCCCCACCACTGTCTTATGGGCTTCTTGGTTTTGATCTATTCGGCTTTAAATTTGTGACCTTGTTAACTACCTTATCTTCCTCCCTTCACACATCTCTTGCCCAGCTTATATTTTTTAACTTTTTCAAATACCTCCTATATTGCGTTTATGAAACATTTCCCTTTGTCCTTCGTTCATATTGATTTTTCTCGAGCCATTTATCCCCCTTTATATATTAATTTCAAATGTTATTAGTCTTTTCTTTTTTTTTTGCCTTCATTGATACCCACGCTTTACATGCATACAGTATAATAGGCCTGATTAGAGAACTTTTTAGAACTTGATTTCCAGATTTTAGTTTTCCTCAGTAATGGTTTTGACTTTAACAATGATACTATTGAAAAATAGCACTTATTTTCTGCTGTTATCCCACAATTTATTTTATTGAGGCTATTTACCTTTTCATTGACATTTATTTCCAGGTTTTGTATTTTTTTTAAAAGTCATGTCTCTCACTAAAATTTAATTGTTCTATTACTTCAGGATACAATCAAGTATTTAGCCTTGTCTTCATATCGATGGTATCAAGCTCTGTAGTGTTTGTTGTTATAACTTAACATGTTAAATACAGTAGATAAACAAAGTGTTTAAATCTTCTTCTCCTCTAAACTACTTATCATTTCAAAAAGTGTTATTACTTAAATAATAAAGTATACTATTTAATATTTTTGAACATCAACCTGGTCAAATGAGAGCATTTTTACATTTTTTCAAAATAGGTAATTAAGCAAGGGTGGTTCCTAAAATTACATAATTGGACTTAGTATAACTAAAATCACTTTTTGCAAGTGTTAAAAATGTATTTTTAATATTTAAGTTACAGTTTCAAATTTAGTTAAGGTTCTATTTTTAAAGTAGTTATATACTTCGGTCCCATATCCCCTCTTTGTATCAGTCCCTGTAGGTGGGTAGCTAATTTTATTATTTTTGACCAATGCATCTTAAATTATATAATACCTAATAGAATAGTTGACTGATCAAACATCCATTATTTTATGACAATAAAATATATACTAAGATCAATATTAAAAGTCATTAATCATAAATTATATTTATAGCGTGACAATAGTGAAAGGGGTTATTCAATATCAATATTATTATGAAGGACGCTAACATAGCATAGTGTGACCTTATTAGACAAACATTATCTCATTTATGTTTGATTTTGTATGATATTTTAATAGTTAATCTTTTTTTTTTTTTATGTTTACAGTTAGAGAAATATCTCCAAAATATGTTTTCGGTGAAAAAAAATATGGCCGACGAACAAAGCCTCGAGATGATAGTTTTATCTTAAATCAATCAGAAATAACTCAAGATATGAACAGTAGTATATTATCTTCTCAAAAACAAGAATATGTTAACGTAAGTTGGATATCTTTTTTTATATTTTCCTATGTATATTAATCTCCATGTTGTTAATTTGTAGATAAATTCAGATTTAAAATCTGATGACGAAACTACAAGTAAAGACATGTTATCACAGTGTGATGATAAACATGGTATGTTGGTATTCCAATAGATAATTTTTATTTTCTAAAAAAACTTTGAACTCTTTTCAGATTTGTTAAAAGAACGGATGATTATGGATAGACATAATTTAAGTCTGGCTTGTGAACACATGGGCATTACTTCAAATGGTCTTATATCAAAAACTCAATTATTTGATGTTATCCAACATTTTGACTGTAATGAAAAATTATTTGAAAAGATAAATGAAAAATATCCCAATGAAAAAATGCCCATTAAAGAAGTTCTAGAAATAATCAGTATTTCAGACTTCCGGTCTGTTTCACCAAATTCAGAAACATCAACTTCTGGAGTTTCTTCTACATCATATTATCACAGAGAAGATAATTTACCAAATGCAATGTAATAATAATGATAGTAATTATTATAATTAGTTATAATGATTGTACATATTTTATAATATAATACCATCAATATTTTTAATTTTATTTAGGATGGTGAATATTTGCACTATTATTGAATTATGGGAAAGCTGTGGTATACCCGAGTCCGTTAATTTACTACAAGAATTAGGGATTGATACATCTCTAGATTCTGTATATGTACCTGATCTAGTAACTATTGTAAGCAGTCAACTCCATAAAGTGCGAAACACTTTTGTTGATTCTTCATTATCAGATTATGAATCAATTAATACACCATTTGTTTTGCTAAAAGCTTTAAGTTCTTTGAATGAATATCAGGTTAAATGGCTCAAGTAAGGGTATAACAACATTAATAAATCATTATGGTTATAATTAATAATAAATGGAATGTTTTGGCTTACAGAATGATTATTGAACAAATGAATTGTGAGAGAGAAAAATTAAAATATGATGTAGATACAGCAAACAATAGAGCAGTAATGCTTGCACAAGAAGTTGATGAAAATCATATGCGTTTAGAAAAATCATCAGCTGACAAAATTACGTTAGATTAAAGTTTTTAAATTTATCAACTACAGCAAATTATGTACTTAATAAATGTATTATTATTTTTTTTTTTAATTCAGTGCTATAGAACACAAACATCATGAAGAACGAAAAACGCTTATTAATCAATGGGAATCAGAAAAAGATCATTTGTTAAATCAGAATATATTGCTCAAAGATAAATTGCAGCACGTACAAAATTATGAAAATGAATTACAATCTCAACTCTTAAAAATTAATAAAGTTTGTTTGATTTAGATAATTAAAGTTAATTGGGAATTATATGTATATAATAATTAAAATGTATCTTTTCTTAGCAATTACATTCATTAGAAAGTGAAAATACACAATTGAATGAACAACTGGAAGAAGTTAAAGAAAAAAATATTTCTCTGGAAGTTCAAGTACAAGAAATTCCACAATTAAAACTAAAGGTATGTTTGTTGAATATTTTATTCTTATATCTATCTATTATTTAATTTTTTATATCATATAATATATTATATTTCATTATTATATATTATTTAAACAATCAATTTGAATATTATACATTATTTAAAAAGAGTTTAGTTATAATAAATTCTTAATTAATATCACGAATGATACATTTTGAGATTAGCAAAAAAGCTATTTAGTTTTACTACTTTTACTAATCATTTTTTTCTTGGAAAACTCTTTTCCAATTAGTATAAAAAGGTAAAATATTTTGACATGGTTCTATAGTACTTTTAAAATGCAATAATTCCATCTGGTAGGACTTATTTTAAAATATTTTCAGAAGTTTTGACTATTTACTTTCACACTTAAAACAACTAATTTTTAGCCTATTTAACTTGATTTAGGAGTTAATCTAATTACTAGGCACTGAAGAATCTTGTTTCTTTTGTTTATAATTATGAAAATTTTAAATGTATAACTGAGTAGTACTTGTTTTTTTTCTGTTATTTACTATACTAACAATAGGTTTTAAAAATTACCTCCAAATCTTATATATTATCTTATACTTACCAACATAAATAAGTAGCTTATACATTGTGCAAGGTATATCCACTTTTTAAATTAAGATCATTTAATGTGTAGTAATTTATTAAATTAGAAGTAATTTATTTTGTAAGTATTTACAATAAGTATTTATTGTGTTTGAAATATATTTGATCAAATTATAGGAATTTGAATTAGAATCGAATAATGAGCAGATAATAGATCTCATGCAAAAAATTGATAACTTAAAACATGAAAATAAGTGTCTAAGAGACCAAAATGATGAACTGGTTATTGAACTTGAAGCAACTAAACGGTTTGTGTGAATGTACCTTTTTAAACTTTTAGTAACATGAACATATTTTCATTAATTATTGGAAATACTTTTAGACTGGATAATTTGGATACAGACAGGTCATTTGAAAGTAATGTTCGAAATTTCTTAGCTGAAGAAAACAGTCCAAACTGTTTTGGCAAAGTGAAACACTGTACAATAGAATCTTCTGCTGAAGAAGGAGGAAGTGATTGTACAAATACTTCTGAAACATATACCATTGAGTCTGACTTCGAAACATGGAATAAAGTAAATGGATAATTGAGTATTAATTACTGTTAACGTGTGTGTATTTTTTTTTCTTTGGTTATTTATACATTTGTCATTGATTTTATGTTTAGCAGTGTGATAATACACCAAAATCAAATAAAGAATATCCTCAAAAATCGTTAATACTTTTGAATAGTATAAAAACAAAGCTATCTCAATCACAAATTGATTCGTCTCATTTAGAAAATTTAATTGAATATTTGGTACATATGAAACAAACACCAAAAGCAGATAGCTTGCAAGAAATTACTCAAAACAACTCATTATCCTTAACACTTGAATCTCCCAGTAGTTTTATGACATCTTCTCCTTTAAATAAATATCCTACTAGAAGATCATTGAATAAACAATTTGAGAGTTCTTCAGAAATTGAATTTAGAGATTCCACTTTGATGGATGTAACAAATGGTAGTGTTGAAAAATTGAAACAAATGTATAATGAGTGTAAATTAGAAAATGAAGAATTACATAATAAATGTGAAAAAATAGAAAGAGATTGGGAGTTAAGGTACAATAAGTTGTGTGAAGTGGCAGATAAAGCTTTGGATGAGGCCAAACGATTGAAAGATGAATGCACTGATTTGGAAAAAGGTATGGATGCATTGCGTAATGAATACTTTGAGTGTGAAGAATATTGGTCACAAAAGTTAGATGAAGAACGAAAATTAAATGAATTGGTAAGTAATGTTCATATCTAGTTACCTAAGTACTAATTTTATGAGAATAAATTTTTTTGTGATTCAAAACTTAAATAACTCAATTATGTTTTTAAGTAAAATCATATATTTTTACTTCTATAGAAACATATTTAACACTTAATTTTTTTTCGTGACTTATTAATAAATTAAATTATATTTGTATAGGAAAAAAAAGTGAGTGAAGACAAACTGAATGACTTAGAAAACAAGATTAAAGAATACAGTGAAGTTTTGGAAGATACAACTGACAATAAATTGTCTTCAATTGATGAAAATGCTGAGCTCGAAGAACAAGTAATAATTTGATTCTTTCAGAAATAATTAGTTATTAAAAGTCAATAACTATAATTAACAAAAGTTAATAATTATAATTTTTGTATAACAGATAAATTGTGTTCAACAAGAATTTTCTAATTATTGTTTTAAAGTAGAAGAGGAGATGAGAAAGCTTAAAATTGAAAATGAAAAATTAAAAACTCATGTTGTTATGCCAGTTGAAAAAGTAGACCGTGAAGTACCAAATTGTCAGTTCAAAGATGAATGTGAAAAATGCTATGAAAATTCAAAGGTATGTGTTTTCTCCTCTTATGTTTATAATTATATATTATTTTGTATTTATATTTTATACATTTACTGTATCATTTCTATAGTCTTACAGTGAACTTAAAAATAAGCAATTTGACTTAAAAAAAAATCGTGAAAAATTAGGTATAGAATGTCGAAGTCTATTGCAAAAGAGAAGCATACTTAAAAATGAAATATTACAACTACAAGAGTACCTAAATGTACTTTCAGTAAGTAACTAACACAATTATATATATTATACTGTATTTAATTAACCTATTAAAGTTCATTGGTTACTTGAGCCATTCAAAATCTAAAACGAAAGAGTCAAGCTACCTGTGGTCTGGATCAATTTTGTTTTTGTTAAATCATTTTTCTTTGTATAGAACACCCACAAGGAGTTATTTATGCGAAAGGAAATTAACCAAGCTAATCAGGTGTCTATGGATGTTAAAAAGTACAAAGAACTTGAGCAAAAGCTGCATGATGAACAAGCCAGGCATCAAAAGTTAACTAACGGTTAGTATATCAAATTTGATGAGGTCTTTTATAACATTTTAATGATTTTTTTTTACTATTGTTTTGTACTAGTTGCTAATAAATTATAATTTTTTTTTTTTTTGGCGTAAGACTGGTCATCTTTATATTATGTTCAATTAATATAACAAAATGAACTTAGTTTTGAAACTTTTATATTGTCATATTTTGCTTTTTTGACATTTTGAATTTGTTTATGTTTCCTCTTTTTGGCTATTTTTCATTTTAAAATAAATTTTATGTAAAATAAAGTCAACATTTGGACTTTATCTGAAACAATTTTTTGTACTCTTAAAAAAGTTTTTCAAAAATATCAAAATAATTTTTAATAACTGATAACAAATGATGTCTTCTATGTTTCGGATAGTCTTGGACAGACATATATGATTTCTTGAATATGAAAATTCCTAATTTGTTATTGGTATTTAGCTGTTTAGAAAATTCACCTATTATCATCTGTTTAAATACCTCTTGTTATTTTTGAAATAAATTACATTACTACCTTTTAATTAAATTATATGATTTATATTATTTTGTTGTTTTAAATTTAGCTATCTGGAATGAACATCAGACTAAAATTGACGTGGCACATAAGCTATTACGATCATCTCAAGACAAACTTGAAGAACAAATTAAAATACGAAAAGAACAAGTTAGTGTTGATGTATATTGCAGACAACCAAATCTGTTTCAGAAGCCTCAATATTTCTTTTTGGGTTTTTTTTTTTCAGAACAAGCAATTGATGAGTGCCGATATGATTGTGAAAGAATTGTTCATTGAAAATGCCAAACTTATGTCAATGATTCATGGCCTCCAAACACAAATTGATCGCTCATCTAGTTACAATTCGGTTTAAACAGTGTTCTTACTATTAATAATTATTATTATTTTGTGTATTATTTCCTCATTAATTATTAATTATCATTGAAATACTATGCAATATTGTGCAGTTTATTATCATATCTAAATTTGGTTGTATATTAGAAATAATTATAAGGATTATACACTGTTTTTTTTTTTTATAGGTGTGGTTTTTTTTTTGTTTTAATTATTAATTTTTTAAATTATGTATAAACATATTTCCTAAGCATAAAATAATTGTTAACAGTGCCTTAAACAGAGAGCTTATTATTTGGACTCAACGAGTTCCTGTATATGTAAACTACTGCAGGGTGACTAAATAAAAAATAAATATATTATCATACTTTAATTAAATTATATTTAGGTTAAGTAATAACTATTTTATTATTTTTAATTCTATAAATACTAATGTTAAATTATGCACTTTTATTGTGATTACTATTACTTAATTAGGCTTTGTTATTTGAATTAATTTCAACATTTTTTGTTTTAAATTTTAGTCTTATCAGATAATCCTAGAAATAATAACTTTATTTTATTTTTTACTTGTCACCAAGATCGACATTCAATAGCTTAAAGGAAATCCGACTATTTTTGTTTTACATTTAAGTTATGTTATATTTTTTTTTGCATGCTTATGTCATATATATTGTTTATTCCTTTTTTGTTTTCACCAATTTTTCTTACCTAGATGTTACAACTGATTTTTTTTTTTTGTTATTATTTGTAACTTAGAGATGATTAGACGGTATCTTAAAATATATTACCTCATTAATTCTCTTACAAGACGTTTCGCTTTATATAACGCACGCATTCTACAAGTCTAGTCAATTTAATAAACTCAATCATCTTAAAAAAATAAAAATTGTCCAGTACAATTTTTAATAAAATACTAGTCAGTTTTACAAATTTCATCTCTAAGTAGTATAGTTGTGCATTTGTTTATAATTTATTACCGTCTAGAGCTCTACTGTAAAACTTGCCTTATGGATGTACTATGTAAGACTTAAAATAAATGGTTGTTTTTTTTATTGTTTGTTGGTTGTAAGGCATGATCTATTATATTTAAAATATTTATAAAATTGTTAACGAATAGGTTTTGTCTACTGCACAAAACAAACCAACTGAATTGCTATTTTCTATTCATTGTTAATAATATTTAAACTATTAGTTATTATATGCAATGTAAACAATAAACTTTAATTAACCAAAGAATTTATTAATTTAGTAGCTTTATTGATACAAGTAATGAATGTTATTAGATAAAAACTATAAATATGATTTTTGGTTATAGTCAAATTCAAATTTTTACATTAGTTTTGCATAAATGCAATTTTAAAATTATATGAGAAGACTTCAAATAAAAAAAAATATACAATACAATTTAAAAAAAATATAGTAATAGTAATAATAAAAAATATAATGCTAGCTAGTAAAAAGTATAATTAAGTCTTAAACAAAAAAAAAAAAAAAAATGGTTGTAAACTGTGAAACTAACTTAAAATACATAACACAAATATTCTATAGCAATTAAACAGATACAATACATATTTGAAAACAAATAAATATTATTTATCTCAGTCCTGGACCCAGTAAAGTGGGCCTAGAGGATCGTTTCTGTTGGTCTTTTTTCTTATTTGGATCTGGCAAGAAGCACTTCCACATCCGGAGGGTTTCATCTGCTCCAGCTGAGAGTACTGTTGAACCGTCTGGTGACATTGCCAAATTTAGAATACGATTTGTGTGTCCAGTTAGTTCAGCAACCTTAGGAAAATTAATAATTAAACAAATTATTGAGACAAGTGCTGAATGAAAGATGGGTAATCACTGAAATGGATAAATTTTAAAAGAAGTAATGAGTCGGAACAAAATTTAAATTTAGGACATCAAAATGGTTAATGACAAAGACTGTTATAAGTTTTAGATTTGAGATAAACAGTGCAAGGACTAACAAAATGAAACAATTTAGAATAACAAGTTAAACATCTTCAGCATCAGAGATATATTAGTAGAAGTTTCCCTTCTACATCAGGATTAGATCTCTAAACTTAGGCTATAATACTTAACAAATGAGAAATAAAAAAAATTAATTCTTTTAAAGTTTTATTATCAAGTTTGTTTAGATTCTGAGCAGAGTGAGAAATCTATTTGTTTTACTATGTGTTTTTTTCTGTCTTGAAATAACGGAAAAATTGCTTTAATTTTAAAAAATAACATCTTTTTGTTACATTTTAGATTTAGTTGATGCCTAAGTCATTTTTTGATTTTTCAGTTTTCTCAAAAACTGAACAAAAATAGGAAAGTTTCATTATTTATAATGTAATCAGTTAAAAAGAAATCTGTAGAAACTTTGAAACTTGAAATTTTGACAGAAAATATATATTTATTTTTTCTTAATGTGATAAAAAGTTCAAAGCATTTTGGTTTTTTACTTAGTTTTTAATTAGTAGGTACTAAGCAGATAAAACTGTTTAACCCAACAGAAATACTTTAACATTTAATATGAGGTTTATTATAAGTTGTACTTGGTGGTAAAAAAATAATAAAGTTGACCAAAATGTAGTGATTTGTTTTAATTATAATTTTAAGATCAAAATCTTAAAATATATAGTATTTCGAAACAGACACAATTAAACTTTGCTCAAAATCGTTTTTGTTACTTACAGATATAAATTAAATAACTGTACGTATCTTTTCACCTATAACAGTGGCACACCCATCAGTAGTATCAACTATTTTTTTTAACTACAGAAGTCATCATAAATCATATGAACATATATCTATAAATCAATATATTTTAAAAAATTATTGCACACTTTGTTCAAATCATAATATAAAAAGGAAAATCGATTTTAATCAACTTGAATACAGTGTTCATTTTTGGGATTTTTAAGAAAAGATTATGATTAAGTATGCTATCATTCAAAAGGTACAATTAAAACTATCAGTCTATAGTTATTAATTCAAACTTAATATATTTTCCAAGTATAAAATGGTCAATAGATGCTATGTCGATTTAATATAATAACTATCATACCTTTGTCAATGCAGGGTACTTCCAAATTGTAAGCTGATTGTTTGCAAAACCGTGCGCTGATACTAATTCTCTATATGTTTTTGACCAAAGAATAGCACATACTTGTGAGTTGGCATTAACCGAATTAATACACTGACCATTATTACAATTCCAAAACCTGATGGTCCGATCTGCTGTACCACCACCACTGGCTAAAACATTTGTTTGCCATGGGCACCAATCCAATGCTTTTACAGCAGCTTGATGTTGACTATATAGAAAAACAATTATTTTTTATAATCATATATTCAAATTTCTATATAACCTAACTTACCTAAAACTGTATAATGGCTCAGATTGATATGTTGCCTGACCAGGTAAACCACTATATATGTTCAATAGATTGTCATTTCCACCACTAGCTAAATAACGACCATCAGGTGCCCATTTTAATCCACAAACCTATACAAATTGAAATATGTTTATGTTTTGATTATAAATAATAATAAACGTCAGTTATTTCTTTATACTTCTTGTGTGTGTGAATAAATTGTGCCAACAACATGTTCTCTTTGTCTGACATCATTGTGAACAAGTTGTCCAGTTCTGGAACCTGTTGTGAGTATATGAGTATTCCATGACATAGCACCCACTCTGGAACTGTGACTATTCATTATACGCAGTCGTTTTGTTTGAGCTACATCCCACAGCTACAAGTAAATAATTATTTAATAATATTATGTAATATAACCAAAACTTAAATCTTACACATATTACATACTTGTACAGGCCCTAAGGCAGTTCCGACAGCTAATAGGTTTCCATTTGGAACCCAGCTCACAGAAGTAACATAGTCGGCACCTTCGAGATCAAAGAGTTGATCAATTGCTCCAGTGTCAGCATTCCAAAGATAAACACTCGTACCTAGAGCGACGGCCAATGTGTTGGAGAAGCTCCAGTCAATTAAATTTAAATCTATTAAACATGTAAATATTGTTTTTTACAATTTTATATTAATAATATACAAATTAAATTTAACTAATACTGTACAATAGTCATCAACAATTTCAGGAGCATCCAATATACGATCTGGTGCATGTGGTATATAACGAGTGGCACCACGGATATTCATTGGAGTTTTGGATTGGGTGTAAACTACTTTAAGAGCATTTTGATAACCCTAAAATAATGTGTTGATTGAAATAAGGTACTTATTAAAATATTCAATTTTATTATTATAGGTACCTCAGGAGGAGCTGGTGCTTTATTTTGATAGGATAACACTCGTACATTATTTATATCACAGCCGTGAAGATTCTCAGACATAGCTTTTCTGTAGTCAGATTGAGATGGACTAATTTCAAGGTCTTCATTTTCACGATTCATCTGTACAAATAAAAACAAGAAATGAAAATAATTAAAATAAAGAAAAAGTACATAATTATATTTGTATTACTTTAAAATGACTAATGTCAAAATTTGTGGACATTCTGGAAGGAATAAATCTGTCACCGCCTGGTGTTTTTGGTTTAGCTGGTGTGTTGGATGCTGATTTTGAAGCTATGAAAATTAAAATATTTATTTAATGACTCAATTCATGAAATTAAATTGAAGTATTTATTAATATCTATATTTGAATGGTATTTAAAAATGTAAGCAGGTATAAACACTATTATTATATAGAAATAATTATGGCTAATAAAATCTAATTTCTTTAATCGTTTCATATTTGCAAGTTTTTGATTACTGTTTGTTTGTCTAATTTTCATTGCATATTATAATACTTGCATACAAATCCATGTTCTAGTTATAACAGTATAAAAATTTAGATTAAAGAAGTAAGTTAGAGTAGTTAGCTTTCTATCTATTTTTAGATGACAACCTTTTAGTATTACCTAAATCCTCCTTAACTATTATAATTCATAAATATGAAAATGCAGTTAAAATATAAAATTTAATTTATTTTACCTATTTAAATTAAATACCTAACATATTTTGATTAGTATTACAATAGAGTTCATAATTTGATAAATCAGTAATTCTAAGTTCTACATCATAAAATATTGGGATATAAATATTAGAGATGTTTGAAAATGTAATAAATTTAAAACTTGCTTTTCAATTGTAAGAAAACATTAATTTGGCAGAATAAATGAATATAGAAATTATTGACTGGGAAGAATGAATTAGACATAAGACAAACACAAAAAAGTTGTATCAATAGTTAAGAATTTGAAAAGCTGTTATGCTAAAGCAGCGGTTCTCAAACTGTGTTCCACGAGAGTAATCTAAGAACTCCATTGGTAAATCTGAATTAAATCAAAAATAATGGATTAAAATTTATAGTGTTTACTAATTAAGCGAGATATTTTGTTTTGCATGCAATATAAATTAATAAATTAAAAAAGAAATCATTCATGAATTCTTTTTTTTTTTTTTTACTATTTATGATTTAAAATTAGCATTCCTGGTTTTTGAGGCACTGTAATTTTTTTTTAATAACATAAAGGCTCTGCAAATTAAACATTGTGAACATCGCTAAGCTACACAGTAAAATGTTTAATAATTCTCAAATATAACAAGTTTAATGTATTAATTACTTACCTTTTACAACAGATAATAATATCTTATGATTATCAGTATTTAATTTCTGATGTTTTAATCGAGGTTTTATTTTATTTCTTTCGAAAAATCGACTTATATGATTTCCGTTCATTTTTAATAATTAATGATACTTATTTGTGAATTAATACTTGTTTTTATTTTATGGCCAAGAAAATATTTATGCATAGAATATAATATATAAAATTGTTGATATCTATGATAACATAGATGCAATAAAAAATTCACTAATGTCACTAACCTGGTGATTTTGATTTACTAGGGGTTTTTGATGGAGTTTTCTTGGTAGCTATTAAGTCCGAAGTCTCTTTGGGAATTTTTGTATTAGCATTAAATGAACTTGACGTCGAAACTTTATTCCTTGATGTATTGGCCGAACTACCAAAGAATATTTAACAAGTTTAAAATTTTTGTACCCACATACATACACACATTCTAACCCAGAAGAATCCATGCTCTTTTTCATCCAACGTGGAGCAGGTCCACTGGTAATTGGCTCATCCATTCTAACCACATTCTTTAGATCATTAACAAACGCAAATTGAGACATTGTAAAATCAAAATATTTTGCACGCCTTCTGCTCATAAAAAAAAAATTGTTAACAATAAAACTTAAAAATTTTATGAAAATTTAAAATACATCAGTAAGTACCTAGTTATAACGGTATAATTCAAGGCTAACCAATTTACTGTAATTACAACTTACCCGTAAACGAGTTAAAATCCAATAAAGTAGTTATTTTAAAATATTTATCGGGAATAAAACGTGGAAAATAAATTTTAAGTATTGTAGTTCCGTAAATACTAAATAGTAAATGATGACAACAAAATAAAAATTAACGACCGTTATTTTCATTTAAAACTTTCGTAATTGAAATGGAGGGGCGGAGAAACCGATAAGAAATATCAACAATTATACGACAGTGTGACCAAATCGCGGTCTTCCATAATACCGTACCCTACGATCTAACACGATCGTATCCACAAATTCGAGTAACCGGCGACCAGGTATTTTCCCTCAAAATTAGAATCGGTTACAAAGACCGTACCTTCATTGATTAAATATACAAGAGTCATTTAACATGACGTGGACTAGACGATAATAATTTAGATTATAATCACACGGACACAGACATATTAAATTATTATTGTATAATATTATGGTCTATAACAGCGGTTCTCAAACTGTGCTCCGCGAGAGTAGTCTAGGGGCTCCGTGGCTCCCTGGGAATATCTGTATTGATTAAATTCAAATTATTAAATTATTATTATATTTCTCAGTTACATTTTTATTTTTATAATCAATATTATTTGGACCGTACCCATATGTATTATTCTAAACCTTTAAAACTTTAAACTATATATAAATCCACATATTTTGTATCATTGTTAAAATGAGATTAGATAAAAGTCGGGTTTTTCATTCATTTGACATATTGTACGATAATTTAGTTTACTCATCTACAATAGTACAATCTACATTCTACGAAGTTCTAATAATTTCTTGATTCTTCAGTCATTACTCGTTATTCATCGGCCGCTGACGCAGATATTGTTATTTCGGCGTTTATTTCGTATTGCGTGTCCTATTTCACCATTAATTGTTTTTATTGTTAACAATTTTTTTTTTGTGAATAAAAATTTAAATGGATCGTTGGCTAAACAAATCAAAAAATACAGTGGGATCATTCTCATCAGATGCAAATGAAAATATATGTATCACAACGACTAATAGTGCGAGTTTAATAAGAGCAAATAGTCCACCTAACAAACAATCTGATACAGTGACGTCTGACACTACAGTAAGTAAAAAAAGAAAATATGACGAAAATTATACCTCTTTTGGTTTCATACATGAAAATAGTTATCCGCAGTGCGTTGTATGTAGTACTTTATAGACTCTATAAAGTATAATATGTGTATTGTTATTATTAATTTTTTATATCTGTGATCACTGGTCATAATATAATAATATAAATTATGATGCAGGCATATAATGTCTATGACATTAGCGAAATTATGGATATTTTTTGTTTTTTTTTTTTTTTTTTTTTTTAAAATTGTACGATCTGTAAGTATTATTTTTACAATAAGCACAAATGATATTCATGTAGGTAACACAAACATATTAAATTGGCAATTCAATATCTATTGCGTTAAGGCAGTTTATGTTTTGAGAGAAGGATCCATCCATTGATGGAACTTCATGGCGGGCGTGATGGATATTTAACGGCGTTTTCCATCAGACTGCACTCGTATTCATTGGTATATGGTGTACCTACACCGCGGTTATCAGCACCGTAATCTGCAAGGTCTATTCCTAACCAAGATGGATTGATCCGCCTTGTCTATAATGATTGACTTTGCGACAAATTCTAATATTCCACGTTCTCATCACGCATGCCTGAACATTTTTCGGCCGAAATACCGAACGAATTCCTCATCGAATACTGTATTAATTGTATGTTGTGCTTACTGAAAATATTAGTGACTTATTTGCGCCTTTTGCGGTGGCCAGAGGGGTTTTGGTAAGTATATGTATACCCCCCTCCCCCCCCGCGGGGTAGGTACACATCTTTTATAATATTTATGGTTTGGTATAATTTAAGTGAATATAGCCGTCTAAACTTTAAATTGTGTTGGGTTAGGTTAAAACAAATAAATAAATAAGTAAGTCCTAAACATGCCACTGGAAAAGATTATATCAAAATTATAATATATATATATATATATATATATATGTTTTCACTCTGTATAGCCTGTGTACAACATTTAGCTGAAGTCGCAATTGTAGTTTTAGAAATTTATTAGGTAGTCACTATTTGTTATTTATCGTAAAACTATTAATTAAGTAGTGATATTTATTTGCTTTTATTAATGCAATCACACAGTACACGCTACGGCAGTCTAGGAATAGGTGACTTGTTGGCATTGTTCGTAACGTTATGCCTACTTGTAAAATGTACAGTGTTTTATACTAAACTACCAATGCTGGGGGGTATATCCATCCCTTATTAAATTAGGCGTGGCAACTAATACTCCTAATATTATACCTATAGTTTCGGCGTCACTGGATCTAACACCTTTTATTACTGTTGCAAATATATTATTAAAAATATTATCAGAAAATTATAACTGTCTTACTAAAAGTTCATATGAATTTTAAATTGATTGGTTAAGGAATTCATACCGATTGGGGCATGGGATGCTGTAACGTGTTTAATTTCGTTAGTATCTATCCTAAGAATACGCCGCATGATAGGTATCAAACAGCAGCAATATTGGGGCTCGCAATAGATCTATTGATTTTTTTTTTTTTTTAAAATAGGTACCATAATATAATAGTCTATATTTTATATTAAAATAGTTAATTTACTGGCTTTCCAAAATCCAAGAATAATATATCGTATTTCTGTAGAACGGAACAGCAAATACCATATTCTCGTCCTTAGCCAACAAACTGAATAATAATAATCTCACTGTAGACCAACAAAAGCATCAAGTGACTTTTTTCAGTGTTTACTACTAATACTGTGGAAAAAAATTGGTTTTATAATAACATTAGCGAAGGAAAAGGGGTTGAATTTAAACACTACGAATGGAGGGGAAAAAATCTCTTGTTCCGGAAATCAGTGAATCGTTACGCATCATGAACCCGAGTTTATGGGAACTAGGGTAGAAGAAATTGTTTACGAACAAAAGTTATCGTAAATCATGACTGCGGGATAGATAATTTAAACAAGACAACGTATTATTTTTTTTGTTGCAGTGCATAATTCGTCGTAACTATCCATGTATATATATTTTTAGATTTTGAGTAGAGCGAAGAATGTATTCGTTCTACAATGTTGTTTATTTTTCTTTTCTATGAACAACTTTTCCATCAGAAATTTTACTCCAGTTTTCAAGTGTAGCAGCTTTTTTGAAAGAAAATTTTCCTGAGGTGGTACTTTTTGGAGACAATTTTTGATTTTCTAAAAAATGTTTACAATAAATGGAAAAACCAAGAAAAAACGTAGGAAAAACTGAAAAATATATGAAATATATTATTTTCAAATCGTAAATATTACGGCCTTTAAAAACATGTATAACCGAACTCTGCTTAGAATCGTTTTTCGTTAGCAATGATCAATCGTTACGTAGACAATTAAGACATTAAAGTTCTCCTATATCATTCTAACTTTTTATCTTTAACAGTGGCTTGTGCGAAGTATGTTTGTTTTAGATTCGGAGCGTAGTGAAGGATCTATTGATTTCACTATTAAAAAAGTTTTGTTTATTACTCTCTTATATAACCAGTAAATTAATGAGAAGAAAATTTATAAATTATAAATAAAATATCTATTTTCTTAAGTACCTATCTAAATCAAGGGGAAAATTAAAATTAAAATATGTTTTAGTATCATTTATATTCGAATATGAAATTTTTATCGCATATTATCTAAAGGTGTTTTAGTAAATTTTATGTACTAAGGTGCTTTATTTAAGTAAATCACCTAAGTTTTTAAAATCTTCAAGTTTATCTAAACACAGATAGGTATTTTTCAAAAATATTAATTTGTATTTTCTTAAAAAAACAATACTGATTTGTCTATAACGTATCGTAATATCGTGTTACAATAATATACATTTATAATTTCTATCGTTTGAGTTGTGTTACATGATTATAATTTAATTCGAACTTTGAGGCGATTTAATTTTTTCTCTCGAAACACAGGTAATAGGTAACTAGGTATTTTAGAATGTTGTATGGTATTATTCAATAATCGAATAATTTATGTTATTATTCGGGTTAACCGGAGTAGCTATTTTACACTAAACTACATCAAAAAATGAAATTGAAATAAAGAAAAATAAACAGAAATCGTTATTGCCTAAATATTTCTGTTTTTCCGACGAGTTTTCCCTGGTTTCTTCCCATTATTAAGAAAACTATAATGAAAATCAAAAACGATCTCCTCATTGCACCAACAGTATCACATTTGTTACCAGAAACGAGTAACAAACCATGATGACGATTAGAGCAAAATGTTCAATCGAAAATTTGATTGTAGACAGATGGAAAAAATAGCACACGTTTTAGTAGGTAAAACCGATTATTTCGCACTTCGATCAGAAAAAAAAACCCATTATATTATGTTAGCGTAATAGCGTATATTTTCCGCATAGTATATAAACTAGTGTGTTTCCAGAACGGAAAGATCAAAGTTCGTTTGGGAATGGTCAGGCAATGACATCATTGAAAAAAAGGCAGCTCTCCAGACTGTGTATACCTATTATTTCGGTATACATAAGTCATTTTAATGTTTTATAATAATAAAATATATTTATATATATATATATACGAGTATACCGAGTTGAAAAGGGTGGAGAGCATTATTGAAACGTGTATGAATATTATGGCGATTTTTCGAGAAAATTAATCATTTTTTTATTTAGTCTCGTATCCGCAATCTGTTTATAATAAATCATTCATTTTTTTTCGTCTCCGGCAAAAATGTTCATTGTTTATGATTTTCACGTCAGCTCAAGTTCCATATAATGTTGCATTAATTTCCGTTTTATATCGTCCGCCTGGTTGCAAAAATAAAGGTCAAACAGCTTGTTTGCGATGGAAAGTAATTATATTAGGTACTTCATACGCCACACGTTAAAAACGTACTGCCTACTTATTTGTATTGTACGCAGAGTGTTAATAAAGTAACTTGTATTATTTAAAATAATTTTTTGACATGAGAAAAATAAATTCATTATATATAACCACCGTTAATTGTTTTATTTAGGTATATAAGATTTGCTGGTAATGAAACTTTTGGAGCATTTTTACTGTCTTAAAAAAAATGTTTTCCGTCAAAAAAACACACACGTCATTGTAAAACGAATAACTTTTTACATATTAAAATCTGTAAATACGTTTCACTGTTAGCTGGTGTATTTTTGACTTATCCGTTTAAGTTATGCTGTTTAGGATACTAAAAAATAACTATAGATGTATAAATAAAGCTTTACCTACTCGGATCATTTTTATGCATCACTCTTTTGTAGGTGCTTAGGCTTAGGCCACTACAATATCGGCTGAAAGAAATCTGAAATGATTGAGAACAAATTAATTAATCTAATTTCGATTATGAAAAAAATATCATGTGATAATATGAGTCATAACTCATAACCAATGAGAACGTTATATTTGGCAGTGGTGTTGCAGCGTTTGGTAACCGTTGTGTTGTACATTTGTACATTTCATATTTATTGCGAATATTTAAATTGTATTTACAAAAGCACTACAGGGTAATTAAACCGCTGTAGATTAAAATTTAAACATTAAAATAGTAACTGCGCGTTTTTCATTTACAGCTACGGAAAATGTGCCCAAACGCACGATGAAATTATTCCTGGTTGAGGATCGTCACCTTTATTTATTATAATTATATTATTTTAAACCTAGATAAAATAATATTCAATTAAGTAGGTACGTATAAGCGCGATACTTACGATTTATTGCTTGACGTGTGATAAAGGATTACGGAAAATTATAACTAAAAGTAATAATTATATACATATAATATTATAATATTGCGTGTGTTATAAAATGATAATTTGAAATTTTAAAATATCGCGTCTATGTGTGTGTTTCGAGTGTTGTGTTCCGTGTATGGTGAATGCATTTAATTAAAAGTAATATAAGTAAGATTTAATGTTATGATGGTTTGAGAAAGTGAGAATATATTATTATGAAAACTCGTTGAATATATTATAATCCTCCTTATATACGCATGGCATTCATTGTTTTATTATTATATTGTTACGACGTTAGCATCGTACAGAATTTTATTTTACCACTTCGTCAAGGCT